AAAGAGTGTTTACATATGTCTTGTGCAAAGAGCAGCTCTGCAAGGTCAGAGAGGAGAAAAGGAGAAGGATGTAAGACAAAAAGATTCCCCACTCCCATATAAAAAATAGTCCACAGAGATAAAACAAGGATTGTATAAGTTATTTTTAAAAAATCTGTAAAACAACATAGCCAAGGATATTTTAAACACAATTATATAAACACCACATGACTTACTATTAAGAGAGAGCATGAAAAGGTTTGTTTGGGGGAAGGATTTTGTAGAATTAAGAGTTTCCTGGCTGGACCCCTGGAATGTCTCTTTTGGAAACAGATGCCCAAGAAAAATCACTGCCGTGAACAGGAGGATTTTGTGAGAGAGAAGGGTATACCCAGAAAAACGGGGGAAGGATCGTAACGCAAAATGCCAGAAAAGATTAATTGGGACACCACCTCATTTAGAGGAAGGATCTAGCTCGTTCCAGAACTGAATTAATCAGCAACTTACAAGCAGTTCCAGGAGGGAAATACATTTCATGGTAAGGCTGTGACCCCACAGGCTGGTCTGTGCAGATGGATCCCCCGAGTCCGTAAGATTCCCTGTAGGCACGGGGGTTTTCCCTGCCTGCAGTTGCTGGACTCGCTGGTCTGAGACTCCCGCAGAGCCACGTGGATCAGCTCTCACTTTGGTCCTCAAATCTCCAGTTATTGCCATGGCCAGAAAGAAACAGCTACCAACCGAATCCGAACAGGAGTGCCAGAGCAGGCTTTAGGGCACCGCTCTGGGAACCACCTAATTCATCGTTTTACGTATGTACAGAGCACGGCGCCGGCCGTTTGCAATGCAGGTTTATATCAGCCGTCACCTAGCAGGAAAGGGTACCAAAAATTGGGCCAGAAACGGCTCTTTCTTTGCAGATGTGTGAAGTCCTGCATCCTTTGCAGCGAGGGCTCCTGCCAGCCGCTCGGAGCGGGCAGATCAGTAGGATTTCTGCGAAGAACCAAGCGTGTGTACATGGATCATGCATCGGTCCCCGCTCACGAGGAGTGTTTGAGAGTATTAATATCACCGCTTGTCTGCTACCTTTCAGGACTTGATCATTCAGGGTACGATCCAATCTCTGCTTAACATATTGCTATAGAAACGCGCTGACAGTGATATTAAAGCTATCAAACTTACGAGCGAACGCTTGACAGCACCATGTAAACTCTCCCAAAGCTGAAAAAATAAACTTTTGTCCTAAACATTTGGCAAAACTGGGCTGGCAGTTGGTGGAAGTCCTGGATGGATGCAGCCGCTGAACTTTACCCGGCCATAAGACACGTCTGACAGCAGAACTGCACAAACAGCTTCTTTTCACAGAGCTTGTTTGATTTCACCATCTCACAGAAAGTCTTGTCAGCTGGGAGGCCGAGGCGAGGAACAAGAGAAAATGAGAGCAGATTAACATTTTAAATAAACAAACATTGCACGTAACAGGCAGTGCGATTCGTTCCAGTGTTGGAAGAGACAGAATTGAAAAGGAGTCGCTTTTTAAGGGCATCTTTCACATGGGTTTAATGAAGGAATAAAGCAGCTTTGCAGTGAGTGGGAGAATTAGCCCCAAGACTAAACTATAACGAAATACAAACTCTTGGATGCGTTTGGGCAACAGGCAGGTATCCAGCAGTTCTGCCAGGTAAGCTGCCTGCCCACCGCAGCTGGAGCCCAGCTCGCTGCAGCCGTGCCTCAGCAAGCCCAGAAGCCGCAGCGCTTTCGGCTTTCTGCTCTGAAAGGAATCCCCCAAACCCCTCATTTTTGCTACCGGGGAAGCACCACAGTGCCGGCGGTTCCCCCACAACTACTTACCATTGGTGCAGGTTTCATTTGTTACACAGGAGCCGCTGAGGAGGCTGTAACCTTCTTTACACTTGAGGCAGTTTCCACTGGAGCCCTCGCAGGCTGAGCAGTGGTCATCGCACCTGGGGACAGAGACCCTGCTGTGGTCTGAACTGACACCGAGACCCTGACCCCAGCCATCCAAAATGGGCCATCGACCAGAAAATGTGTCTGCCGGCACTGCGACATCCAGACCGAACCAGAGGATGTGGAAAATGGTGAATCTGAAGGTTGAAAA